GGTGCATTAAGACGTCTACCCAGTGGACACACACAGATCTACTATGCCAAAAAAAAAAAAAAAAAAACCTAAAGAAGATGCAGAGTTGCTAAAAATGTTAAGAGTGGAATGTAGAGGTGCATCATCCATAGTCCCCTGCACTCAAGAGACAGACAGGATGATCGCTTGTGCCCAGGAGTTCCAGATTACCATACAGCTTAAAGTCAAAGGGCAAAAAAGCAAATCCAAAAAATCTCTCAAAGTTGGAACAATCTGATTAAAAAAATAAAGATAATACTGGCTTATGAGTCATACAATAAAATATCCATACTGATAGAGAAGAAAAAAGAGAGAATAGAAGAAAAAAAAGGGAAAAACAGCTTTTCCTTCTATAAAAATTCTTTAGTAAGTGTAGAATGACAGAAAATTACCATTACAATATCACAGTAAAACTGTTGCTAAAAAAAAAAAAAAAATTGTTGCTGAGAAAATTCACTGATGGATGTAAAATTAGAAGGTGTAAATCTAAGGAACAATAGAATATTTGCATAGCTTCAAATACATTCCCTATGATATTTATTGACTACAATGAGAAAAACCACAATAAAACAATCTGGTAGATACCACCCTAAATGACTGATCAATGTTAATATTACCAGTAAGTAGTAAGACATACAAATAGACATATACCCTTGACATAATATAATGAGAAGAGCATTATCACTTTCCTTTCAGAAAATGTATGACTGCAATATGACTATAAGAAAATGTCAAACTCAAATTGAAGGATATTTTAAACAAACTGACTAGTATTTTTCAAATGTGTCAAAGCATGAAAAACAAGGAAAGACAGGAGAACTTAAAGAGTGGAGGAGACTCACACAGACAACTGGATACAATATGAGATCCTAAAAAAGGACATTGGTGGGAAAATGTAAACTCTGAGTAAAGTCTATATTTTAGTCAACAATATTGTTCCAATGTTTCTTAGTTTTAACAATTACACAGTGGTTATGCAAAATATGAATATTATAAAAGATAGTGGAAAAGTATATGGGATCATTGTCATTTTCACAACTTTCCTGCATGTTTAAAATTATTTCAAAATAAAAATTAAAAATATTGTTCAAATTTTACTGGCTAAAACAGTGTATCTTCCTACTTACACAATACGATTTTGGGATAATTCACTCTCTGAATACTTTAAGAGTCTCCTGATAGTAAACAAAAGAAGAGGAAGACAGTAACGTATTACTGGAAATACTGGACTCATTTTAGGAGCCATCACTTAGTATGCAGACTTACTTTTCCCAGATGGAGTTTTTAATGTAAGTAAAAGATCTCTTTAAAATACCAGAGTAAAAAATAAATAAATAAATAAAATACCAGAGTAAATGTCCAGAAACTAGAAATAGTGTTATTTTCTTTCTTTTTCTCTGTCATTGTACACACATATATGAAAGCAGGAAGGAGAGGAGAAAGAAGGTTAGACTATATATAAGGAGGCAAATAATTTTATAGAATTTGTGGTTCTCTCTATGTCATGACACCACATAGTGAATTACAATGCTACCAGCTGCAGGGAGATAGCATGTCGATCATCTAACCTGGCCCTAAAATAAGCAGTACCTTGATTGCAGTTGGTGCACTTGACAGTGTTACTAATGTCCCAGCAGCCTCGTACTTTACAGCTGGGCTAGATGACTGTAGTAAGTTATAGATGCAACGAATGAAACGAGCCCTTTCTGAAGGATTAGCATGGCAGACCTGCAAAGGAAACATTCAGGTTTTGACTACTTTCAGGAAATGCATGCTTTTTTTCTTTCTTCTCCTTTTCCCATGTCAGGGATGGAACTCAGAGCCTTGTGTAGGCTGGGCATTTACTCTACTACAAAGACAACTCCCTCAGCC